GGAGATTATTAATTGAGGTTCGTGATACCTTTGGGGTTCTTAGGCAGCAGAAGCGTATCTGCGCTGAGTGTTGCTGTTACAAATTCTGTACGTGGCTGCGCGGTTGCACCAGGCGTGTGTGCCTCAGGCACGTGCTCTTTTACATTGGCAGCCGCACTGACACGCGTCTCAGAGCTCACGTAGTGTAAAATAACTGTTCCTTCTGCAGAATTGTTCTCTTTTGCTTTCTCATTTTAACTCGTGTGCTGTCTCTGGGGAGAGGATATATTCTTCCCCTTGGCTCCCGGCAATACTGCAGTAAAGCACAGCTGATTTCTTTTTTTGCTGGCCAGGTGAGGCCCCTCATGGTTTGAGATGCTTTCCCTCGGCAGGGTGTGGGGAAGCACTTTGGCCTCTGTGGAAGCCAGGAGGCTCTTCTGGCTGAGCGGGCATGAACCCACGAAGGGAATGTCTCTGCTCAGCATTCCTGTAGTGAGAATTTCAGCAACGTTTTGAGAATTAGGAGGAAAAAGGCCTGAAGTTGGGGTGTGTCTCACAGGCTCTGACAATAGCTCCTGCCTCCCTGGAGATGATTATCAGCTTGTGAATATGCTGAACTCAAACAGCTCGAGCCATCTGTTTCCAGGCGAGAGGGAGTCTGCACATTAGAGAGGCAACGTGATTGTCTCAGAGGCAGGAATACTTTTATTTGGTAGCTTTACCTTAAAAGATGGCAAAGCCCATTCACGAGATCCTATAGCAACCAGGCTCCCTGTACACCTCTGCTCACATGAAAACTTGTTTATATCAGAACAGGTAGATGGGAGTTTCATCACGTACCATGGAAGGATGTCCTGTGCTAGTCCCCCCTTCCAAAGGAGGAGCTGGTGGCACAGGGCAGGCAGGTGGCCTAAGAACTTCAAAGGTGAACAAACCTGAATGCTGGGAATAGTCTAATTTTTTGTCATAAATATTGCCGGTGCCTCTTACAGCCTTGGACAGGAATGTGCTCAAAGGCCAAGGTCCAAGCAGCGTGCAGGAAGGGATGTGCTGGGCCAGCAAGTGCAATACTCTGCTGTCCGGCCGCTGCAGCTTTCTCTGAGCCAGCAGATTTTATTTTTTTCTTTTGCATAGATTTGTGGAAGTTAGATGACTGGAACTGCAGTAGAATTAGAGCTGGCTTCCACAGAACACCTTTAGAAACACGTACCCCTTCTTCACAGGCCTGGTGTGAGACGTGGGTTCTGTCGTTGGAGCCGAGCCCCTCGGGGCTGGCCAGCCGCGTGGATGCTCCAGTCCCTGCAAGGCGAGTCCTGGAAGCCAGGCAAGGAGAGTATTCCTGGTCCTCTCCCAAACCTGGGCGCTATTTGTATTAGTGTTAATAATTTGTGTTGTGTTTGCTAAATAACCGAGGTGAGCGACCTTCCCGGCCTTGGGAGTTGCATACCAAGCCCATCACGTGAGTCAGGACCTGAAGACACCGTAACTGTTAGGGAGGGTGGAAAGGGTGATTCCAGGAAAGCGCTGCAAGCAGAAGGTGACAGCAGAGGCTTATCAAGGGCAGAGGGGGTCTGGCTGAGGGAAATCAGCTTTAGAGCCTCGCAGGATCCCAGTTCTTACGATGGGGTTGTGGGTCACCCAGCAAACCCCACGTTTATACAGCTCTGCTGTGGCTCCTAGGGTCTTGTCCCCAGGGAGAGGTTCACTTTGCTTACAAAAAATCAATGGCTGAAGAAGGGCAAGCTGGCTGCCTCGGCCATCGACACAGGTGAACCGGGAGCACTGCGAACGGAGGAGGAGGAAGACCTGGATTAGGCAGCCATGCAGAATGCCTCCCACAGCTCGAGCTGGGAAGTTCTCCAGGCTGACTGGGAGGATGGTTTGGATGCTGGAAGTGCTCTTTGCACAGGCTGCAGCCAGGCGTGGGACTAGTTGGACATCCAGCTTGCACGGCCAGAGCCTGTTGGAAAAATGAGGCTGATGAGATCTGCAAAGCCCCTGGAGGCACACAGCCTCCCCGCTGCCTTCTCCGCACCACCCAGGGCAGGACCTTCAGCCCTCCAGTGCCGGGGGCCTGGAGCAAGATAGATCTCGGCTCAGGGCTGTGTGTGGCAGGAGCATCAGCAGGATTGCACAATCCCCCTCCAGAATGTCTCAGCACACATTTCCATTGTGGAAAATGTCAGTGATATTCAAAAGATTATATATATCCATAATGCTTGAAGGCCTGTCAGGGATTAAAATGGAAGGCAGAGGCCGAGAGAGAGGGGGTGGCATTGAAAGGATCGAGAGACATGACTTATTTTGTCATGTCATCTGATGCCTCCCTCTCTCCCCCAGCCAGGCTCTGGGAGCTGTTCAGAGCAGGGGAAGAA